AAAGAGATTAAATCATTTAGATTATTATATAGTGATATGTATATGACATTTGGTTGCATTTTAGACGTTTAATCATTTTGTAAATGCCGGAAATCTATGGGATTGTTTTGTTCAAGCCGGGCCAAACATAGGCTATTGTATTTGAAATTCAAACACTAGATGTCCAAGTTAACAAAGATGTACATTATTATTTATTTCTATTAATGGCATTTTGGTTACATTTTAGACGTTTGTTCATTTTGTTAATGACCAAAATCTATGGGATTGTTTTGATCAATTGCCCCTAAAATTTTGACAAATAACTCACTTCGAAACAATAGTATTCGAAATTCAAACACTAGACGTCCAAGTTAACAAAGATGTACATTACTATTTATTTCTATTAAAGTTCGTACAATAAATTACACAAAAAAATCAATCGAACCCATCAAACCTATAATACTCTAATACCTAATAAACTATGAGGATAGTGTTGATCTTACTACATGTAACAAAATTGTTGAAAGAGCATTTTTTTCAATTTTGAATTTGGCAAATAATAAATTTAATAATTGAACAATAGTTAGTTAATTTGCGAGTGATTATTGTAATGGGAACTGAATAGGACACTAACATTCAAGTGTTAGCATCTTGCTAACATAACCCATTAAGAGCACTTTCGTAACTATTGCTCTTATTCGCTTCCGCTACTGCTGATGCATTACGAATTCGGCGACACATCTCTTTTTTTCCTTTATTAGTTTTATTACTATTTATCGGGATCTTCTTTTAGTTATTGTTTTGGTTTAGGATATTTTATCATTCCGTAATCGGTTTAGGATTTGTTACCTTGTTCAAGAAGGGAAGGGTTTGTAGGCTTAGCCTATAAATATATACTAGGTTTTACGTTTTATGGACCAGAATAAGAACAACCTAGCTTTTCGTTAGCTTCTCTCTCTCTTTCTCATTCTAAACTCGACGTGTGAGACTGTCATGCGTCAATTGGTATCAGAGTCTGGTTTCGACGGAACCTAGGAGCCAAGAAACGATGTCGGCGAAGAAGAACGCGACTTCCTCGACCATGGAAGCCGCCGCGACGACGCGGGATAGCAGTTCGGGACGCCATGGATCGTGTAGCTGACCTCGACCAGCAGTTGCGTGCCGCTGGGGAAGATTGCAGTCAACTCCACGTGGATGTCGACCGCCTCAAGGATGGGTAGTCCTTGCTTCAAGACGAGGTTCGCCAGGTGTGTAAGGAGCTGCAACAGGGACTCGAGCAGGTGACCGCGACGTTGCGCGGAGAGATGAGGCGCGAGTCAGAGAGGCATGGGGTTGCGTTCCTTCGGGAATTCGAGGATTCATGAAGAATATGGAGGTGCTCGTCATTGGAGGCACCAATCGAGAGAAAGCTGGGGAGAGGCGCACCATTGACAAGATTGCGACCGAGGAAAAGCTCAAGGGGGTTGATTCGGCGCACGCGAGTCCTAAGGGAATCGACCGGGTAATCCTTCCGACTCCCACAACGAAAAGATCATCGGCCTGGAAGGAGGGTCACGATGGAGCTATCCCTCTCACAGGAATCGCGTTGGGAAATCTGGCCCTCAACGACGAAGATAGCGGGGCGGCAAAGTAGGATGTGAAGTTTGACGAGCGGTCGGGACATGGAGACAGGGGCGGATGACGGAAACAAGAGGAAGAAGGCGGTGAGGGATCAAAGGGAGATTGGCCGGGAGCAGGACTGCACAAGTCGGAAGAAGGCTTTCGGGGCTGGTGAGGAGCTGATCGCCAGGTCAGATCGGCCCATAAGTCGGCTGGACCTCAAGGGCGAAGACCGCGTTGAGTCTTAGCGTTGGCCAAGAACCCGCAGTGGAGCAGGCGAATGGCCAGCCCAATCAGGAACTGGGTCGGGCGGTCGAGCCGTGCAAAATCCGAGGGCTTCGAGACAGGGAAGGTTCGAGTTGGGGAGGAGTCGGCTGCGGCGTGGTTTCGGGGGAGAACGACGACTCTCGAGTTTCCAAAGTTCACCAGGAAGGAAGAACCCGCAGGGTGGATGGCTTGTGTCGAAAAGTATTTCATGTACCATTATATTCTTGAGGAGTAGAAGGTGGCCCTTGCGTCATTCCACATGGAAGGGGATGCAAACCAATGGGTGATGTGGGTCGAGGAGGTGTGCACACAGGGAGGTATGGAGATGTCCTGAGACGACTTCCGTGCTGAATTTTGGAAGCGGTATGGAGCTTCAGAGAAGGCCGCGGGACACGAGACTTTGTCAAAAATTCGACAAACAGGGACGGTGGAGGACTATCAACAGAACTTTGAACGATTGCTGAACCGTTGTCGGGGATGGAGTAGAGAGGCGGTGATGGGAACATATATGGGAGGCCTCAAACTCGAGATCTCCGCTTATATACGCGCTTTCACGCCAAGCAATACTAGGAAGCTTACTGCTTGGCCAAGGTTTGTGAAGAGGAGATACGATTTGAAAGGGGGTCCGCTAGGGGAACGACGCGTGGACCTGCTGCGGTCACACCAGAGGCGGCCCCAATTCCGAACCCAGCACCAGCTCCTGCACCACCAGCTCGTGGTCCTCCTCCAGCTGGGAGGTGGGTTATTCGTCACGTGACACCAGAAGAGATTGCACGATGTCGCCGCGATGGTCTATGCTACAATTGCGACGAGCGATACACTTTTGGTCACCACTGTTCTAACAATCAGGTGTTTGCGTTGATCAGGTACTTTGGAGACGTAGGAGAACTGGAGAAGGGTGGATCAACGACGAGCCCCAACCTCGGGACGAGATTGCTCAAAGGGGGGTGGATTGATGCATTACGAATTCGGCGACCCGTCTCTATTTTCCTTTATTAGTTTTATTAGTATTTATCGGGATCTTCTTTTGGTTATTGTTTCGGTTTAGGATATTTTATCATATTCCGTAATCGATTAGGATTTGTTTCCTTGTTCGAGAAGGGAAGGGTTTGTAGGCTTAGCCTATAAATATGTTCTAGGTTTTACGTTTTATGGACCAGAATAAGAACAACCCAGCTTTTCGTTACCTTCTCCCTCTCTTTCTCGTTCTAAACCCGATGCGTGAGGCTGTCACGCGTCACCTGCCTATCGAGATCTAACCTTCCTCTATTTCTATCCACAGTTTCTTCCTCCTTCCAGGTGCCAACGTTAATCCTTATCCATCGTCGATCATTCTGAAACAAATTACCAGCACGTTCCAGGCCTTGGTCTCTGCTCGAGTTCTTCCCCAGCGCTTCCCGCCTCTGGCGCTGTGTTTCTTCCACAAGAGGAGAAGCGGAAGATTACCCACAGTGGCAAAATGGACCAGAACAACTTTCGAGTGAGGAAGAAGAACCTATTGAGCTTCCGGGGAAGGGCGAGGATTGTGATGATGATGAGGATGTTTCATAGGTGCTTGAAGTTGTCTGCAGACTGTAGCTGCATGGGGGATGCGCTCCAGAAAAGGCTTGCTACAATGGTTGAGGTTTACCAGCTGCTGAGAGGAAGTGAGAACCGAACTCAGCTGCAGAGAATGGTGATCAGATGATGCCTTCATAATTAGTGCAATTAATTTTGCACAGTAGCAATATGAACTGCAATAGCGTTCCAAATTGTAGGTGGACTAGTTTTGGAAGGAGTAATTTTGGTATTAAGACTAATATTGTAGGACTAATTATTGTTACTGTTCAGTGTTCAATAAGACGCACCTAGGCGCGATTCATAGCTGGGCATGGAGAATTCTTGGAGTTTAGGGTTGGGTGTAGAAAACGTTGAATGGCGATCAAAAACGCCAAGGCGCGTTTAACGGCGGGGAGTCGCGATTGTGGGCTTCTGGGCGACGCCTAAAAAGAGAAGAGGGAGATGAATTTTTCGGTGTTGTGCGTTTTAGGAGGAAGGCCTGAAAAAGGAAAAACCTATCTCCAATTACAGACAGCGAGAAGCTCTCCCTCTCTAGTCTCAACAACCGTCGTCGCTCTCCCTTATCTCCAGACTGCCATCGTTCCTCTCCCTCCTCTCCACCCAGCCGGTCCTCGTCCCTCTCTTGCCAACCAATCGACCACCGATGTTCCTCTCCACCCAGCAGACCACCGTCATTTCAAGTCGCCGCCTCATCCTCTTCTTTCGCCAACGAAGCAGACAGCTTTGGAGCATAGACCAGGAAACCGGATCGTACCGGCCGGTTCAACCGGAAATTGGACCAAAAGCGGTACGGTGGGCTGATTGTGCTGATTTTACCGTGCCGGCCGGTTTTTCCGGTTTGACCGGTTGAACCGGCCGGTACGATCCAGTTTCCTGGTCTATGATTCAGCTTCATTTCTCCGTATTCTCGTCCAATATGTGGAAAATAATTAAAAAAGAATATATTTTTTTCTATTTTTCTATGTTGAAAATGGGTCACCGTGGTTGTATAATGCTCTATTTGGTTCTTTTTTTGATGGATTATATTTTTTATACTATCGCATTTCATTTCTCTATCAATAGTGAAAAACGGTATTTACCGGTACAAAACGGTTGAACCACGGTCGTACCACAAAATACCATACCAGAAAGGAATCCGGTATGATGTCCAGTACGGTTTCCTTTACCATGCTTTGAAGAATCAAGGGGTTGTCGTCGCCGCCTCGTCCTCGCCTCCTCGTCCTCGGCACTGGTCTCCAAAAGAAGTTCCCTCCATTGAAGGTATCGCTTCTTTCTCCATCGAGCTTCGATATGTCTAGGGTCTTGCTAGTCTAGCTCTATCTTTTTCTTTTCTCAAAATTTCCCTCTAATCCTCAATAGAAGGCCTGCTGGAGAAGATGGTTTTGGGGTGGAAAGGCCTGCTAAAGAAGAAGATGAGGCAAGGGAGAGCAGATGGTATATGTTGGATTGAGATTCGTAGGCATGAGTATGGTGGGCTTCTTAGTTCGATTTTTTTTTTCACGTTTAATCTCGCCTAGGCGACGATTAATCACCCTGGGCGCCGGGCGGTGCCTCCCAACCTAGTTGACGCCCAACATCTTCTTGAACATTGTTACAACATTGTTACGGTTTTGTTTGAAGTTTCTGGTTTGTTTAAGAAAATTCAATCTCTTGCTAAATAAGAGCAACAAGTTGGTCAGAGTGAACCCATACTTCGCAAGTATGCAGATTCCATTGAACCGGCCACACCAATTGAAATAGATACCAACATAAAATCCATACGTTGCACCAGGAAGCTCTCAAACACCTTGTTTAAAAGTCAATTAATCTTCACCACCAAAAAAGCTCGAGACTCTTGCTTCCAAGTAATAAAGTAGCATACAACGGAGAACCAAAAATAAAAATCCAGCACAAGAACAAAGTTCAGACATAATCTATGAAATAGAGGGTCTTTACTCTAACTTGATGGAAACAAAAACAACTCGGTGCAGGCTCCTGTAACATCACAGCCCGTCCATCAAGTACACTATCTAGTTCGCTTTCAAATGCTCTTGAACTACATTAAGCCCTTCACTTTCCTCCCCATAATCCTGCAATGGCAGCAGAGGATCATTATTAGAATGAAATCATGAACAGAGATTTCAATACGTTTGGTCTTGAGAATAAAGTAGTCATACCCTGACAACAACGCATGAGCATCCAACAACTTTCCTAGCGTTGCCCTCTGAATCAATCTTGCAGAGCTGAAAATGGAAACACAATCCATTTAACACACTGGGATATAGTCACGAAAGATACTTAAATAAACATCAAGATACAGACAGATGTCACCCCAATCAAACCAACCAAACAAGGGGGAAACACCCTTCCAAGCAAGGGAGCAAGCAGTAAATAAAAAAGGAAAGACTTTTGAGACAAACTGATAGCGGACAGAATTTAATACTGTCGTGCTTAGCTGCTCTAAACTATCTTACTGCATCATGCTCTACAGCTTCTATTGCAAAGTTATCAAAAATGTCCAGCAATTTCAGTATTCTGTAACATGATAAACACCTACAGCAATGATTATATATAATATGGGTCACTCATAAAAACAGGCATCCATCATTGTTTCAGAAAGATAACAGTATTCACGAAATCACAATTTACAACTAGTTCACCACATGAATTGCTCAAAAAGTTGGAAACACCATCAGGAACCGAGACTGAGATCAAACACTTACCCCAGCCCATTCACCAAGGGTCTTGGCACTAGGCACAGTCATCAAGTTGACGTTGTGGTCAGCGCAGAGAGCCTTCACCAACTTGACATAGTCAGCTTGGTTGCAGTCCTCGGCCAGCACGCAAAGCTGAGCAGCATGCTTCTCAATCACTTTGGCGCCCTCATGAAGTCCCCTTGACAGACCACCATGTGCAAGAGACTTCTTCAGCACCAGCTGCAAGGCTGCCATCAAGTCCATCGGCTCACCCGGAGCAGGGACAGCAGGGGCTGCAACAGCCTCAGGCTGTTCGACGGCAACTTCTTCACTGCAAAATCACCCATCAACTCGGTAAATCAGACGACAAATAGGGATCATTCGCCCAAAAGAGAATCGAAAAGAAGTAAAGAAAAATTCCGGACTTGGTAACACCACCACTAAACCCCAAAGGCCAAGACTCCTCTATCTTCTTCTAAGACTGTTATAAACTAGATGTATAGAAAGCAATACTCGTACAGGAACTAAACGGATAGGAATCAGATGCGGCCTAGAATAAAATATCGTAGAAATTGCAGAAGCCATTGAATATGGAAGGAGCGGAAACAAAAAAACTGATGAAAGATCAAAGAAGGCTGAAGATCAGAGTCATTATACATACCCCGACATTTTTTGGCTGTTGGTGATTAGCTCCTACGAATTCTTTTTCTATCGATCAAGCTGCAACCAAGAAAACGCGATAATCAGATGACAAAGATGAAGGAACTGGGGCTTTGTGAGATTCTGGTGAAATACAGAGCAAGAACCATCGGCAGGCACTAACCTTAGCGAGTTCCACTGCCGCCTCAACAACACTCGACTGAGCGGCGATGCTGGAAATTTTATAGCGTGGAAACCCTAGTAAGCATTTTATTTCATCGTAAAACTCTGGCGATATCTTTATGGGCTAGTTGATGGGGCCTGGTCCATCTTCTCAGTTGAGACTTAGTTTGCTAGTGCGTGGGCTTGAAATTAGAGGGTGGTCGCTTTATGAGTTTGACAATGAAGATTTTCCTTAAATTTTGGGTTTTATAGAACAGCCAATCTATGTCCTATGATGATTTTTTATATATATAGGAAATGTTCTATGATGAATTATTTCATTATAGATTTGAAAAAATCATTAGTTTTGTTTAATGAGTTTCTTGATGCTTTTCTTGAATATGAAATAAAAGTGACTTTATTATCTTTGTTTATCATTATTTGTCTATTATTATTATTATTATTATTATAAACAATTCGGTTGTCATTGTCACGTTGGGAAGCAATTTAGAAGTTCCTAAGCAAATTAGATCTCCTTCTCGGAGGCGCCAATTCTCAAGGACCTTAATGGATTTTTATTATTATAAATTCTCAAGGACCCTAAGGGCCTGTTTACTTTCATTTCTGTTTCCTGTTTTTGAGAAAACAGATGTTGAAAACAGGTGAAAACAACATTTTGTCGTTTCCGAAAACAGCAGGAAGTTGCCACTTTCTGTTTTCATGGTTGGAAACGAATAGAAAACAGAATGAAAAGTAAACAAGTTTTCTCATTTCGGTTGCCAAATTTATCACATGAAAACAGAAAACATGAAACGAAAATGGAAGTGAACAGGGCCTAATGGATTTGGCCTCGATGCTGCCAAGTGCACCCCGAAGAAGGAGGAGGAGGTTGGGTGTGTACCCGACTCGATCAACTCATTCAGCGATGATTGACTCCTCTAGGTGTGTCACAAATCCATGATCCAAACACAATAGGCAAACAAGCTTATAGATTGATTTGACTTAAGTTTTCATATGAGAATATCAATAAGGTAACAATTTCCCCTAGCCACCAGCCGAATTAATAATTGATAGTTCTTTAATTCATTTCATTCATTGTTTATACTTTGGATAGTACTTAACAAGTCTTGAATCTCGATTAAAACAATCAAGGGCCCCAGGCCTCTTGATTAGATTGCTGAGATGGACTCCATCCTCAACTAAGACAGGTTACTAATGCAATTCACACTAGAATCCCTCTATTGAATTCACACCCAATACAAAGCAATGAATCAACTCACTCTCGTGCAATGGATCCTTACTTCTAATCAAAGTTCACACTATCAGTCCACACCACCTCTCATTCGCCATCTACAACTTCTTCTTCTTGGACCTCGAAACCCAGCCATCAAAATCGCGACTCAATATAAATTTTGAGGTTTTTCATCCTTGGAGCATGGCGGTGGATGAGTTTATGGGGATGAAGTTCGGGATGGCAGTGGGGTCGACGTTGGGGAAGTTGCATGAAAAGCAGAGGTAGCAAGAATTGCAGGCTAACCAGACGAGGGAGCTTAGGGATCGTCAGCTATAAGGAATTTTTCAGTGCATGCAGGCAACATCGTCAAAGCTGGGTAGGAGGCCAGATCCCGGAGTCTAAATACTTAGCCTTGGCTGAAGGTTTCAGTCTCCAATAACAAACCCTAATGGCGACTGCGATTCCAATATGGAAAATATCAAATATGGAAAGAAGTTGAGTGGAATCCTAGCCTGAGAGTGTTGGGGGGCAGATCTAATATAGAAAAGAAGGTGTGATTCCATCAATGGCGGCTGCGATTCCAACAAACCCATTATTTCAAATGTCCATCTTCTATTCTCCTTCCCATGCCAGCGATCCCTGAATTATCTAAGTTCTGTAGACCAAATCCACATACCCTCCCTGCAAAACATAATCATTCCAATTGAGTTCCCTTTCCCAATTTCTTCAATTTCAATTTTCAACCAAATTTCAATTGATTTTAGATTAGGCAAGTTGACTGCTTACCTTGGATTTGATTTGGTGCCTTTCGTCTTCCCTGGAGGGTCAGTGGTCAAGATCGAGCTTGAGAGCTATTTCTCTATATAATAATGAAAAAAATTATAAAAAAATAATGAAAAAATTATATAAAAATTATTTTTAAAATTTCATTGAGTTATTGATTTTTTTATTAATTTTCGTTGCCTACGTGGCAACCATGTCATAAAAGTAGGATGATTCACTTGGGTCTGGAGCGTTGACCGTCCAAATTGACAGTCAAAACACGCATTCGACCAAAATAGACTAGGGGCGGAGCTACAATGGTCATAGAGTGGGCCCCGGCCCACCCGGGAATGGTCTCGGCCCCTAGGGTTTTAGGATATTTAGTAAAATTATAAGTATACCTGGTCTAGTAGAATAATAAGGTAATGGTCATGTAGCCTAATGGTAATCAAGCTTTACTTTTATCCTAAAGGACATGGGTTCAATTCCTAGCTATTACATATTGTACTTTTGCTTTACGCACTTCAAGACTTCATTATTTTAGTTCCCATCTATGATTCGTGACACCGAACGGGAGAAGCTATTGTCTATTTTTAATCTATGTAAGGAATTAACAAAAATAAGACTGCCAATGAAATTCAATCTTGTTGATAGGTGGATTTGTTTCTTTTAACTCTTCTAGTTTTCACTGCTACAGGTGAACATGCATTTTTCGGTTATGAATAGTGAAGAATAAACTACGAAATAAAATGAATGATGAGTGCTATTGTCTATTTTTAATCTATGCAAGGAATTAACAAAAATAAGACTGTCAATGAAATTCAATCTTGTTGATAGGCGGATTTGTTTCTTTTAACTCTTCTAGTTTTCACTGCTACAGGTGAACATGCATTTTTCGGTTATGAATAGTGAAGAATAAACTACGAAATAAAATGAATGATGAGTTTTGCTGATAGTTTAGCTATTTATATTGGAATAAATATAACTAAAATTTTTAGTTTACATACTATTTTGAGTGATTTATCATAATTATTTTTTTATTTAGATTTAATTTTTTTCTGCCCACCCGGTCTCGAAATCCTAGCTCCGCCCCTGAACTAGACTATATTGTGTATAGTTGAGGCCAAAATATCAATTTTTGAAACCTAGGCCAAAGTTGATTACTTGGGTATAGTTCGGACCATAATCAGGTATTAACTCTACAATAAATTATAAACATGATGGTTCAGTTGAATGTTCCAAGGCATGTTTGGTGGAAAAAGGCTTCAATCAACTCGGAGGGTTATACTTGCATGACAACTTCACTCCCATTGCTAATACAATATTTGCTAGTTTGAGGGTAGTGTCAAAACTAGGGGTGGGAAAACGGTTGCGGTTTTGCGGTTAAACCGCAACCGCACTGAATAAGAGCGGTTTGTGGTTAACCGCAAACCATTTAAAAGGGCTTTTATTAGGTAACAGTTAGTGGAATTGGCCCTTTTGCGGTTTGCGGACTAACCGCACACCGCACCAAACAAATAACCCCACCGAATAACTAACAACATAAAAGGAATACCCAGCCCAAGCCCAAGTGCCCAACCCATCCTAACAGCCCAAAATGCAAACTCTTTCCACTCTACAGCCCAAAGCCCCAAACGGCCAAACCCAAAGAGGAAGAGCACAATCGGGCGGCCTAGCTAGGGTTCCATTCCAATTTCCAAAATCGGCCGCCTCTTCCCTCTACAGTTCAGTTCCATTCCAGGCATTCCTTCGTTGGCGTCTTCGCGAAGAGGAAGAACAGCTGCCATCGACGCAGCGAGCAGCGGCCAACGAGCAGCAGTGCAACGAGCACCGGCCATCGACGCAGCGAGCAGCGGCCAGCGAGCAGTTGCTCGGCCAGCGAGCAGTTGCTCGGCCAGCGAGCAGCAGCGCAACGAGCAGCCAGTCCAGATCCGTCGGCGGCGTTCACGAGCAGCCGAGCAGGCGTCAGACCGTCGAGCTCGAGAAACAGAGCAAAGCACGACCGACAGAGGAGATCGGGGGAAGACGTCGCGGCGTTCACGGGCGGTGTCCCCTTCCATCAACCGTCGAGAAGCAGAAAAGCAAAGGACGCGCGACCACCATGTAAGTCCCCTGTTTTCTTTGTTTTAGTTCTGCTGTTCTGGGAATGGGATGGGACGCGCCGCGCGCGACCACCAGGCACCATAGCTCGACATTCCTTGATGACATTTCGTCATTTCCTTGTCTGCATCGTGCATTTTCAGGGAGAAGAGCAAAGGGAAAGAAAAGATGACACGTCCTCCTCCTCCAATTAGTACCATAAAGACCAAGTCTAAGCCTAAGAAGAGAAGATTGAATGGTGAATCCAGAGGTAGTGTTGAAAATCCAACACCTCCAACACAAGCTGCAACTGAGCTTACTCCTATAGCTGCTGCCATTGCCGTAGGTGTTGGCGCCTCAAGCTCACAGGCACAGCCTCCTCCTCCTCCTATTAGTACTCATCAAGCTGCTGGTAATGGGGGGACATCAGCTCAGGAACAGGAAGACAAGTCTAACAAGAAAACTAAGACCAAGAAAAAGAAGAAGAGGGACTACAAATCAAGGTCGCCAGCATATGCAGAATACGAGCTGTATTTCGTTCCCAATCCCAAATATGAGAAGCAACTCAAGGAGGGGAAGAAGGATGCGAAGAAGGAATTGAAGAAGGCTAGGTGTTTATTTTGCAGTACTAAGTTGGCTGCTGATTCAAGAGCTAATGGTACTTCTGCTCTTCATGCTCACACAAAATAATGTAGAAAGAAAAGGGAAGCCCAAGGTGGTCAAATGCAGTTAAGTTTACAGCCGAGTGTAAATGATGAAAGGTTGAGAATGTTGAGCAACTGTAAATTTGATCAAGGTTCAGTTAGGCTTGCATTAGCTCAGATGATAGTGATGGATGAGCTACCATTTCGGTTTGTTGAACGAGGAGGGTTTAAAAAGTTTTGCCTTGCTGCATGTCCACACTTTAAGATCCCATGTAGGAAGAGTATCCGAGAAGATTGTTTCAGGTTGTTTGCTGAAGGGAGGAGGCAGTTGGCTGATTATTTCAAAAACAAGTGTGATGGTAGAGTCTCCCTTACAACAGATTGTTGGACTTCCATTCAGAATTTCAGTTATATCTGCTTGACTGCACATTTTGTTGGTAACGATTGGAAGCTATACAAGAAGATCATTGGTTTTCGTCGCATTACCAGCCACAAAGGTCTTGATATAGTTGAGACAATTGCTGGTATATTGGAAGAGTGGGGTTTGAAGGACATTTTTACCATCACA